GTGACGGTGTCTACACAGAGACTTGAATCCTGTTCCCATAGTTTCAGAAGCCAAAGTCCCATCCACTAGTTTATGGCTCCATCTTCTTGTGCGACGGGCATCATTTATTGTTTGTTTCAAATTTAGATTTTCCCGTTGATTACTTCAAGTTCATCCTCATGCATCGTCGAAATGTCTGTACTAGAAGCCGACATGTCAATTGAAGCGGAACATTTCGGTCCATTCAGTCAACGGGAAAGTCACAAAATGAACTAAAAACAGATATGTTTGATAGCCTATTCATGTGTCACAATACTTACATAAAGTTATTATTATTATATCCTTTAATTCCTAGAGGAACATAGGGCTTCAGCCAAACCTCTCCATTATCTTTGGTTTTCTGCCAACTTTCTCACCCCGCTCCAAGTCTGCCCACATGCTTTCATCTCCTCCTTACATGACCTCCTCCATGTCACCCTCGGACTGACGACCAACACGCCGCTTCCCATTCGGGTTCCACTTGAGCGATGGTCTGGCGTGTGATGTCACTTGATGGTTTCTTTAGAGTACAGCCAATCCACCTACATTTCTTCCTGCTTATTTGTTGCACAGTTGGTTCCTAGTTCGTTCGTTCGCTCCCAGAGATCCATGTTGCTGATCTTTTCTGGTTAGCCATCTGATCTTGAGCTGAGTATTGAGCGAAGACAGCTGTTGATGAAGGTGTGTAGTTTGTTTAAGATGCTCTTTATGACGCGCCAAGTCTCTGATCCGTATAGTGAGTAGCACTGACTTCACATTAGAGTTGATTATCCGGATCTTATTTTCATTTTCATGCTGAATAGTGCTGTTGACCTCCATACAGACTTGAGAGTAATGAAAGCTTGACTTACTTTCCCGATCCTCGCGCTTTGATATCCTCGTCAGTTCCGTCCGCCTGTAGTTGAAACGATGCTTCCCAGGTATGTGAAGGACGTTGTTTCTTTCAGGTTCCTCCCATTTATGCTGATTGTTGTCTGTTGTTGTTGCTGTCACTGTGGCTGTTGGCCAGGAATCTTCATCACCTACGTCTCTTTCCTCTATGTTCACCTGAAGTCCTATCTTCTCTGGATGCATCTTCTGTCAGCTTGTTGCTTTTCACTTGCACATCTTCCAGTTTGTGGGAAATCAGACATATATCGTATCTTCTAGTCTATATTTTTACCCGAAGACTGGGCTTGATATGTTGTCACTCGTGTTTCTGACTTTCGTATGCTTACATAAAACGTTTTCTAGTTTAACAAAATTATTTATTGTCATGCCCTTTGGTTCCAAGCACAATATAAGGCACCAGCTCTACCTCCCCCTTTCGTCTTGTTTTCTGAAGTCCCTTTTGGCTGGCTTCTCTTTACCTGATGTGTTCTTACTTCCTCCGTGCACGATCGCCTCCAATGCATCTCTATTTACTTCTGTATGTTTTATGTGTGGTGTGTTGTTGGTTTATTTTGCTGCCAGCTTTAGTTTTCTGTTTATTCTTTGTGACCAGCCACCTGATTTCCTAGTATGGAGTGGAAGCAGCTGTTAATAAAAGTCTGAAGCAGTCTGTGACGCCCTCGTCAGGTGTCTGAGCCTTGTAGAAGCAGAACTGACCAGCTTGACAATAGTATTGACGATAACGATTTTGTTTCTTATGCTAAGCGCATTGACTGATTTTTGTTGTCGCTGATTAGGTATCCCCATTACTTTTGTGTACCCTGCACTCACTTACATTTTTATCGTCTTTCCTTCTGCCAGCCTGCTGATTTCCACTTCTAAATTTGCGAGTTAGTGCAACATTGGACACAAGTTACCCGTTAAATCTAGATCTTCAAGAATCCCACTATCACGGCAGAAGACCAGGGCCAGGCAACAGAAAGCTTGTTGAGAAAATCAACACATATCTTATAGACGTTTATGTGCATTATTATTAGTGTTATTGTTAGCAGAGAAGCAAAGTCTTCTGATAGGTTGTTTTCCTGCCGAAGGTTGCTCTGTACTACTTGTGATCGTTTCTCAGAAAATAAAGCCATATATATGTGCGAGTCGTATTTTCACACGCTAAGTCTAATGTGATTGGTTGTTGAGTTCCTCAATGTTAAGCTTCGTCATCGTTTTTTCTCATGACTCAGATTCAGGACGTTAACATTGGGGTAAATTGTTGTCTAAGATTTTGGCTTGCAGACAACTCTCACCACACCACTGCTGACTCAACGTACGCCTGTCTTTCCTCTTCCCATCGCCTAAAGCACGGTTCAGTGCACCACAATCAGGCATTGGATTGGTGATAGTATACAAACTTGTCTTACTGCTGTCTTCCCTTCAGAGGCTTCAATGGGCTTTTAATTGTGAATCGCGTGGCATGTGGCATTATCATATTGATGTTAAATGAGATTGGTAAGCATTCCCTCCATTGTGTCCGGTAGTGTTGGTGCAGTTTGCAAACCATCTCACGGCCAACATTGTTGAATTCTTCCTAAAGTCGATGGAGTTGAAGTAGAGATTCGACTGCCATTCTATGCTCTCCTTAGTCCAATGATTTCAGCACGCTGTCTCAACAACATATATTTCATAAGAATATGAGTAAAACTGTAGGAACAATGTGTAAAAGTGAATTAAAAGTATTTCCATTGTCATCTAATTTCGTATATTGAAAATCAACTTAAGTGCAAGAAAACCGCAAAGCCTGATGAAGTAGATATATTTCATGCACCTAATGAAGTCGTTTAATTTAAGAAAGTCGTTGTACCTGTGTAATTTCTTGTCCTCTAATTATGAGCTTATTTCCTCGTTAGTTTCAACTTCATGTAACCTTTTTTAAAAGTTATGGGACTAATAGTTATCCATCTTGACTTCACAGTTGTCTGATTTCAAAGTCTAGTCCACCTTAATCTGGTGGTTGTGCTGACTCCAGCTTTGGATTAAGACGTAAAACTTACTCCTGTCCTAGGGTGTGTAGATAACCTAAGAAACCTATGAATAGGATGGGACTTGAAGTAATTCATCATCCTCACCCAGCATGTGTATCCTTGCGGCTGCAGTTGAAGTGTAGCAGTTTGAATTGTTTACTGAGGTTTGCAGTTGCCTGTTATTTGCCTTACCATAGCGAAGTAAGGAGAACTTTTTACCATGTGAACTTCTGGAATGATGAACAAGTGGAAACCACAAGTTTCACTAGGTGATGACAAATCCGTATCGCAGTGTAGGTAGTACTTGTGTGTGTTTAGCCCAGTGGATAGTCTTTTGGTGATTTGCACAAAAGATGTGGGTCTTGAGTCTTAATGAGATCACTGCTCACTAAACCATAGGCAAATCTAACTTCTGTGTCATAAGTGTCTCTTGTATTCCACTGATAGCCACTACCTATTGAATAGTCAACAAGTATTCGGCGATTGAATACACTCACCAAAGTCATATATGTGTATATATATCGGGTGTTTTCAGTTGCATTGTTGCGAATCTTTTCGACTGATTACAGACTTAGCTCATGATTTGTGTGAAAATGCAGGTGAAGTCGCTGTCAGGTTGCGTATAATTAGCCGCACTTGAAACGTTTAAGCCCCTATATAAGCGATTAGTTCAGTGTACATTTGGATTCGTATCCTTGTAACACCCCAACCTAAATTAACTTGTGACCATTTCAGAAGCCGAAATTTCTTGAAAATTTAACTTCAAAGCTTTTATGATTTGGAAAATCAGCATGGATATCTTTTTCCACATTTCTGAGCTGAAAAAACGGCTGTATAACTTATACATTCCAGGGTCTAACGTTAGCAGATATGTCGCTGTTTAAGTTTGACAAGATAAGGACTCCGATTTTTAACACTGCAGTCTAAATGGATGTTTATGGGCTGATAAATGTATGAATCCGAACAGCGGACGAAAAACAGTTTACACACCAACTACAGTGCACCCGAATTTCCTCTCAACAACCCTCAACTGAGGGTTTCAATGTATCCTATGTAAGAGAGAGGGGCGTTATGCACTACTATGCATAGAGAATTATGTTTAGTTGCTGACTTAAGACAGAGAATCAAAGTGGTGTTCATATTAGGGTTGGATTATCAGGCAATTAACGAGGCAGATCGATGCGAAGGCGACTGTTCATCGATGGTCTCTCTAGGATTTTGTCTGCTTAAATGCACCGGCTTTGCTCCACTTCATATTATTTTAATAATACAACCATGCCTAGGGATCGCAACGCATACTAAGAATGTTTTGAAGCAGGTTTTGACGCCCGGAAGTAGATATTCTGATGGAAGTGGAGGAAAAACTGTTCACGAAAATACCTATCTGAAGTGGAAAAGTTGTTGATTATTGATGCGTGCTGTGGATAAAACAGTACCGCATCAGTTGAATTGTAATCGTTTATTCATCACTTGAGGACTGCAGCAGAAGTGAATAACCTACAACCATATACTTACTGAAATGTATGTGTTTCATGTAAATGGATTTTTCAGAACAAAGTGATTGTTAAACTATCTTTACAATATTCTTTGAAGCGCACCTCTGGGCAAAGTAGCATTACGTTGTTAAGGACTGGGAACAGTAGAGTCAAAAAGATGAAACCATCGCACAAAGTGCAGCTTTGTTGTTCCATATCCAGTAGAATGAATTAATCCTTTTAACCGGAGTTCTTGGAAGTTCAGGAGTTATCATCTTTGCTTAATGTTACCTTGTTCATTCTGTCATTCCGGTACGCTAACTTGTGGTCCATCCCTTTCTAGTGCGTGACCTGTTTGTAACCAGGTTTTAGGTTCGAAAATGTCACATGAATCCGGGAATTTAGACTGCCTAATGTAGAAATCAAGGTTAGGTAATTAAAAAAACATGTGAACGACTCAAGATATCATTGTTTCCACTCACTTCCCAAAACACTTGATATTTTAGTTGTATTAAATCATTTAGATGGTAAGGCGAATAGTTTCTGCCAGGAAATTGTCTTTTGCTTCCAAATCTTAACAAAATCGAAGAATTGGTGTTCAATGCAGTTTCACTCAATTTTGTTTAAATATGTAGGGAGTTTTCTGGCTCAACATTTGACCTTGGTGTTTTAGTGTCGGTTTTTTGGTTGGTTTAGTAATGGGGTGTTCTGTTATCGTTCGTTGTTCATATTTTAGCGACTAAGCAAGACGATTTGGAAGAAAGCTGTCCGGAAATAATGGAGCCTCCAATTAAGAGGTTGGTCGTAGAGCTAACTAATTTTTTTGTTAATTAAGACAATGCTTGGATGATGTTCTGGATCTAAGTCGGAAGTCAAACCAAATTGATAATGAAGGAGGAAAAGCTCCCTGTAAGGTAAGTCTTCAGTTACAACATTAGTTCTTTAGAATGATGATGACGTTATTATGTTGAGCGAAGATGAAGATGACAGCTTACTAGGTGCTCTGTGCGATGAGATGGAGAAAGAAAATACACCGAAACCGTCTCTGTTGTCAAAGTCCCGGGCATTGATTTTGAAACTGGAAAATGAACTAAGAAATGAAGAAAGCGCTTTGATGCTGTTGCAACAGTTAAGGACCAACCAGAGGTCTCATGCTCTCCAGCCAAAGGGAACTAAGACACCATCTGCTACACCCACTGCACGTAATACTCAGTCGCCAGTTAACCATGGTAAGTTCCTTTCATATAGATTTCTTAATTATTCTGGCTAGCAAATAACACAAACCCAGTGAGGAGCGTTCCTCCTACAACCAGTGCCGCTAGAGTTACTCAATGTAAGTTCAGTATGATGCTCTATGCATTCTCACACTAGCTCCCGCTCTAAACTCCAATGTTCCTAATTCGCAAAACACATCAACAATACCTAAGGTTACCAAAAGCATGGCCATACATGCTTTGGAACAACAATGCAATGGCAAGAAGGCTATGCTTCGGAAACAATTAGAAAGAACCCTGGACAAAGTTGCTCTTCCTAAACCTGCTGTTGGTAACGGATTATGTGTTGTACCATTCGTACCTAGCACATTGACAAACGAGTTTACTGCACTAATAGGACTCGAGGAAATCGTAAATACTATACAAGTAAGCACGATATGCATTTATTATTTCTAAAGTACTGTTTCTGGTTGGCTGTTTGGGCGAACTGGTAGTGGCATACATACTCACAGTCTGTAAGCGTTGGTAATTTGTACTCACAGGTGAAATTTCCCCAGTATTCTCTGTAATAACTTCTGTTTTCAGAGCAAACCGGTCAGATCTCATCTCGAACTGTTAATTGTAAATTGCGAATATGATTTAAGGTAATATTAATGAGACTCGTCCTATAGACTAACGTGTGCTTCTAGATAATGGTATGACTCAGGTCTGTGTTTTGAGTAATTCTGACACCTAGTTGATCCCAACACTATGGATTAATTTCCTAGTCTTTATAAAGCAAAAGATATGTAGATATGCGAGAGAAATTTTTAACAAAATATGTTGTAACATTAGTGCCATTTGTCCCGCTTTACACCTAATAGGTTATCTGAAATCAATGGTTGCATACGGTAGTTTAACTGATGCATGAATGAATAACCTACTGCATTTCGACGCAGAACTTCACGTAGAAGTGAAGCAGTCGTAGTTGCCTCATTCCATGTTGCACTCAAAGGAAGACAAGAGAAAGTATAGCAGCAGAAAAACAGTTGGCTTTAGTGGTTACGAGGGATCGCCGAGAGTTAATGCATGTGGACCATGCCTCTAAATTGTTCTTAAAACTTGGAGGACCACAGTCAGGTAGTCTAGGCCTCTTTACCTGGCTCAAAGTAATTGCCAGATTTCTTGGTTATCATAGTTATCAGAACTTCGGCATGTTGACCATAACAACTGATTTTTAACAGGTGCCGCACTCATCTCAATCGATATAGCCTCACAACTTGACTGAATGACTAGCTTTCCTGGCCTAACACCATACACCCACACCTCGTTATCACTCACCCCATTATACCGTTCAACTGTCTGTTTTCGACATAGAACTTTGCACAAATGTGCGGAAGTTCAAGTCGCCACACTCCGTGTAGCACGCAAAGCAAGAGAAGAGAGTACAAGAAAAGCAGATAAGAGACAGTAAACAGAGGTTTGAGACAAAGGAGTAATAAAGAAAAACAAAACAGTTTCATTGGAGATCATAAGTCACAAGGAGTGGATGCATCTGCGCCAGCCACTGAGAACGATTTTGAGCCATGTCACCAATTGTTTCCAACCATAGATTTTTACCGTCCCGAGGACCCCAGCCTGGCGGAAGTCTACACCTTCCTACGTGGCTTAGACCAACTGTTGTGGATTTTATTGACTGGTACCATGTTTTGGTTTGACCTCCGCTAGCTTTTTTCCAGCCTGACCCTATATCAGCTAACATTACCCATTGTCGGGGAAGGCGATGACTAGGCATACGTAACACATGTCCTAACCATCTCAGTCTTTGTAACTTCACGACTTCGCCGATTGATTTCCCCTGTTTACCTTGAACTCGATGCCTAACTTCAATGTTGCTCACCTTATTATGCCACTTTACACGGGAGATAGAGCGCAGGCACCTATGATCAAAGACAGCTAGTCTTTTCATTTCTTCCACTCTTAGTGGCCAGGTCTCAGCCAGCCATAAAGGAGGACGGAGCGGACTGATGAGCAGTACACCCGCCCTCTGGTCGATAGTCGAACATCTCGTCTACGCCAGATTCGGCGTAAACTGGCAAATGCGAAACGAACCCCCTGTATTCGTGCTGAGATTTCGTCAGAGATCAACCCGTTGGCACTGGCTGATGGTACTTCCCAAATAAGTGAATCGGTCAACGTGCTCTACCACTTCACTTCCTATTTTTAAACTAGGCGTCGATGTAATCCAGTCCGTTCAACACACGAGATTAAATGCAAACATCTGTAGTCAGAGACACCTAGCTTTTCCATATCTTCCACTCGACGACCATATCTCGTTTAATCAAGCTACTTCCCCATATAGAGGCTTTTGTCTATGATCTGACGTCGTAAATTGTAACTAACTCTTAATATACTCTATACAATATGCCTTCATTAGCTTAAGCTGTTTAAGTAGGTTGAATGCTTATCTGTAATACTCGTTTTAACTACAACTTTTACCGCACCTTTTCCTGACATACCTATGGTACTATTTCTAAGGCTTAGTGTGGTTTTCAGAATGTTAAAAAATGTTAAAAATTCCTCAACCGTAATCAGCGGTATATATATATATATATATATATATATATATATATATATATATATATATATATCATAATCACTTTCAGTATCTCTGCTCTTCAATGAATTTCCATACGCGCATATTTCTTCGTTCTGTTCATCATGCTTCCAACCTTTTTATATGCTTTTTCGACTTCTGATAACTGACGTGTCCTCAAATTTCACTTGTGAGTTATTCAGACATTGGCAACCTATTTATTTCACAGAACAAAGACATTACAACATTGGTATTAACGATAAAATATGGCCTCCTTGAAATCTCTCTTCATCCTGCAGGTGCCAGTCCACATTTGGTGTGGAGTACATTAGGAATGCATTTTATGTACTAGTGAATGTCGTTTCACCTATTTAAAAGACTCTTGATAAGAGCTGGTTGATACCTGAAAAAGTGTTACATATATAGTGTAGATATATTTATTATAGCTGTATTGTTAAAGTTGAGATCTTTGAACATATTTCAGTACTGACACCCTACGTTACATCATAAGCTTGGGTGCTCTGTTAAAGAGCCTTGAGCAAAGCGGTGATTTTACTATATATGTATTGTAGTTAATTACTGTCCCATAATACTCGACCTATTTATCTGATTTCACACCGACTGAAAAACTGCAGCACATGTAGGGTGAAAGTGCTGGCGTACATTGAGCCTTCGTAAAGTGAGTGTGTTTTACCCACAACAGCTTGAAACCAGCTTGGTTTTCGCATATTCATTTTCCCCAAGCTGCTGTATGAGGTTGTCGCCTTAGGATTGGATTACTGTATTCGCTACCGCCGTTAAGATTTTTTGGAAGAAATGCTGTTTGGTGTAGATGCCCATATCTGTCTGTCTGTTTTCGACATAGAACTTTGCACCGATGTGTAGCAATTCAAGTCGCTACACTCCATTTGACACACAAAGCAAGAGAGGAAATGCATAATAGAGACAGTAGACAGAAATATGAGGCAAAAAGAATAGGAATATCGAAGAACTGTATAGTTTTATTGGATATTATAAGTCACAAGGAGTGGATGCGTCTGCGCTAGCCATTGAAAACGATTTTGAGCCATATCACCAATTGTTTCCAACCATTGGTGTTTACCGTCCCGAGGACCCCAACCAGAAAGTCTACACCTCCCTACATGGCTAGCTTAAGCTAACTGATGTGGATTTCACTGACTGGTGCCATCAATTTCTTATGTCCGTTTAGTCGTAAGCATGAACGTGCGCGGACTAGGGCGTGATCAGAGTCTACGCACGTGTTCCAATAAGATCGGCAATCTTCTACTGACCCTCGCCAACAACATCCTGTTGCTATGTGGTCTATCTGAGTCCAGCGTTGATTTGGTGATGAACGTCGCCAATTTACACAATGTCTCTCTTTGTGCTTAAAGTTAGTGCTGACTAGGAACAGATGATTATCTGAGCAGAACTGTAGAAGACGATCACTGTTGTCGGTTCCTCGGTAGGGAACTTCATACGTACCACCTAAATACTTCTCAGTCTGGCACAACTTCCCTACTTTGGCATGTTGAAGTCGGCTGCTAAAACAATTATATTTGAACATTTTGGTTTTTGCAGCAAATTAGACAGTTTCAGGTAAAAATTATCCTCTAGTTCTTCCGAACTGCAATCTGTTGGTGCGTAAGCGGAAACTACGAAAAGACAATGACGGGTAACGCCGTCCTTCCTTCTCCTAACGGACCCGTTCAGGCGAACCACACACATATGACTACCTACTGGAATCCAGTCAAGAAGTGATTTTTCCGCCCTAACACTCAATGCAATCCCTACACCTGCGAGTCCTCGCGAACTAGTTGAGGGGTCTCCTGACACCCTTAAAGTGAAGTTTGCAGATTCACGTTGTCGGCCGGGTGAGGTTGAGTGAATGACCACACTCGGGTCTTGTATGCGTGTGCGTCTCCGTAACAACATATATCCATGGCTGGAGTTGCCAGAGTTCTTGCTAGTGATGCTTTTGTCCGATTTGTCAGAGGGTCCTGACGTTAAGAGCTCCTATATGAAGTTAGCGACGTGGTTTTAAAAGACTATCTGGGGTGTTTCTATGGCTCTCACCGTTGTTTGTGGTCACAGAGTGAAGTGAAGATGCATCACTAGCCTTAAGAATAGTACTAACTGCAGCAGGGGAGTAAGATGATGGTGATGTGAGTAAAGGAGAATGATGTTGGGGGAAGCTTCGTGTGCTCTCGGAATTTTGTGGGCGGTTTTTTTCTTCCCGGCTCCCCATAAGGTGGAAGTTGGTTGAATCTTCGGGTACCTGGAACAGAAAGAGGGTTATTGTTACGTGACCGCAGAGCCCAGGCGACAACTGCTTGAGACCGGTCACACACGGCCTGTATGGACTGATTTCCTGGTTTGGTTTCCTCGCGGCTACGGACCACCGTAGGGTAAGTCGGGATGTACAATTGTTGGGGTCGATCTTTTTTAACCCCCTCTCAAGAGTGGAGAGACAGCATAGCTGGCTAGCATGCTAGTCATCTGAGGGAAACACCTCAATGCTGTTACATCCCTGTTCTCTAGGAGTATGACTTCGCCCACAAACCCCCAGCATAGTGTAAGAAAGATTCTTACACTTTGCCGGCAACTGCTTTTAGTTTAATCGCTATCCTAACAACCTTCCTGGCATGGCAGGACCTGCAGGAACAATATTTTCGGCCAATGTAGCTTGTTGAGTCATTGCGATGTGCAAGCCCCACCATCACGTTAAGGTAGCAGCTATCAATCGGGGATGCCTATATTTACCTAAAGCGTGTCCTCAGATATGGTTAGTTGGTTATTATTCGTTACCTTCACATTGATATTTTACTGTGGAGTTACACTAACCTCCTGTTTTGTCGCTGCATTTTTTCTTATCTTGTATATGTATCAATAAAGATTTAATGCTGAATATTTAAACCTTCATCAATTTTGACACATTTGTTGAGCACTTTTTCACCTGCTACTTGATGAAAACTTTAGATCCCTTATTTCTCAACGTAATCATTGTCCGTCTTTTCGATATAGAACTTAGCACTTATGTGCGGCAGTCCAGTTCGCCACACTCCATGTAGCACGCAAAGCAAGAGAAGTAGAAGAAATGCATAATAGAGACAGTAAACAGAGGTGTGAGACAACGTAATCATTTCTTTAGTTTGTTAATTATGTTCATCAATTAGTATGGCTTTGTGTCATGTAGTTACGCGACTGGTGAGTGTGAAGTGAGGGAAATTCAAAATTTCATCCTATCGCTGCATTCATCTTTACCAATGGTTATGTCTCACTCTAGAAAAAGAAGTAGGAAGATGAGTACGTATTTCCTACACGTTATTTCAGACCATTAAAGTGTGGTATTGATACTATTTATACAAGTCTTAACACTTAAGTGATAGATATTCAGTGGATTTACGCAAAAAAATGTTGAGTATTTCGTACATTTAACTATTGCAATAAAAAATTTATTGTTACACCGAATCCATGGAAGTTTTCATTCTTCAACGAAGCCACATAAGACCGATGAGATATTTTGATACGAGTATTCACAATTTATAAATTCAGTGAACCTCTTTCGAACTGGATTTTGTGTAAAATGTAACTAGCTATACGCAGTGGCTTACATGAAATGGTATGTGAGAATGTTGGTTTTTGGTAGTGGGAAAAGTTCATCGCATTAGTCAAGGCAATCTGCTCGAACTCAGTTAGCCGTGTAAACGCTTATGGAAAGCTGCCATCTAAGGTGATGACACATAGTATTCGTCAGAAATGCCCATCGTTCCCATTTTCGCTTCGTTTCATTAATGTACTAATGTCATTGATCCCAACTAACGTAAGCTACTTGAGGACTGACTTGTTAACAGGAAACAACCTTATCAACTTAGAATATGAGGGTGATATTGTCCTCCCAGGTGGAGACGCTGACAGAATGTATAGTCTTCTGAATACCCTCAGCAGAAATATTCGGACGCTCGGTACGTGAAGCATCCCTTGTCAAATGCAAGTAAGATTGTGATGCAGGACCGGACTACACTGACTCCTAGCTTAAAGATATAAAGTGAAGTAGTAGAGCATATCGATCACTTCACTTATTTTGGAAGTTGCACAGGTCTTGATAGACTGATTACCGACGAAATTTGAGTACAGAAACGAAAGACTCGTATGACATTTTCCGACTTATGTCGTCTCTAGCGTAGATGTGATATATGACTATTGACCGGAGGACGTATGTGCTGCACAGAAGTTTGTCCTGTCCTTCATGACTGTGAGACATGGCCATTGAGAGTGGGAGATATGTGAAGACTAGTTGTCTTTTACTACAGATGTTTGCATTCAATCTCGTGTGTTGGGCGGTATAATGGGGTGAGTGATAACGAGGTGTGGGTGTATGGTGTTAAGCCAGGAAGGCTAGTCATTTAGTCAAGTTGTGAGGCTATATCGATTGAGATGAGTGCGGCACCTGTTAAAAATCAGTTGTTATGTTCAACATGTCGGAGTTCTGATAACTGACCAGTTTTAATTCTCATGACATAGTGTATTCTGTTCAGTTGGGGCCTTAATTTTCTTGGTTAATTATTAGCCCCTTGTCTGGTCTGCGTCAATATCCACCTTCAGGAAGTTGTTAAATCGTATTGTTTTTAAAAATGATGTACTTTATTGCAGACTCATTGATGAGGACCTACTTGGCAATGTCAATTAGTGTCGATAATTTCCATTTACGAATACTGAACGTATTTGACGTGTAGTACTTTATTAGTTGACGTATGGTACGCCTCTAAAAACAGGTAGGATGAGAAAAGCTTGTTTTGTTAATCAATTTTGTGACTTGGTGTGTCTACCTTACATTGTCCACTGATGTTCACAGATGATTAGTGGAGCTTGGATTTTTTTGTTGAAATTTCAAATATCTGACTTGACACACAAGTGGTGGGAAAGACCTTTCATCAAGTTTCCCTATACGAAATGGTAGAACGAATTCTCGTATCAGTTTTACTCAGAAGCAGATTTCAATTTAGGTAAGAATTATAAAAAAGCAGATATGTTTTGGGTGCTGATTTCCATTTTCGCTTCCCTTGGTTTAGAATTGCGTTTTGTTTAGTTAATCAAAAGCATCTTTTTTATATTTCAGGATTTTGACCCGTTGAACACGGAGAAAAGTTCGGACCAATCACGGTTTATTAGTCCTTTCTCTTGTTCACGATGTGGTACTGACTTTACACCCGTTTGGAAACGTAAACGTCCAGGTTCATCAGAAGTTGTTTGTGAAGCTTGCATAATTGATGGCCAACGTTCTGCTATTCACAAAGCATACAACAATGTTATTTCAGCAGCACTGAAACAGCATGCTGCCCAAGAACGTGAGATTGAGAACGAATATCAAGATATTGTTAACTCACCGGCTAAGCTGGAAGCTTTTATTAAAGAACATGAACGGAAACTCATGGTCACACAGCAGGCTCAAATGGCACAGCAACAGCAGCAACAATTACAACAAGCCGCTTCGGCTAACAACTTACATAATCAGCGCTACCATCAACAGCAGCAACAACAACAACAAGGTTTTCAGACTCAGGTACAGTCTTGTTTAGCTGCTAAGAATGTTTTATTTCCAAATTTCAAATAAGGCATTTATTATTTCGTAAATTGTATCAGGGCAACAGGTTGACGTGATGCAAGTTGCGTCGTATATGTCGTACAGTCTCTACATGTGTGTAATAAACTTTTGTGCACAGAACAAGAAATCAACATTAACACTTGATAAAAGATAATATTATAATCACTTAAGGGTATAAGACGAGTTACTCAAGTAGAAAAAGAAATCAACATTTATATTTACAAACGGTTCAAACCTGAGTTATGCATTCAAAAAGAATCTATAATAAGATATTATTTACCTTGGTGGATCGTTTTCTAAACTAAACTGATTGCACCACCATTTACTAAATGTAAGTGATGGTTTCTTTGAATAAAGCAAAAACAACATTATGTGAAGAATAAGATGGTACTGTAACGTTAGGAGACCATAAAATTGGTAAAGGGATGTTTATTTGAAATTTGGTATCGCTATATGGTGAAGTTGTATCCACCTTGTCTTCAAATCTCCATTTGCGCAGATCTTCCGTGTTGTGCTATTTCTGTCCTTGATATTGTATTTCTTTGTATTGACCTCACGTCTCCCATGTTTCTCCGCAACTCTGCATGATTTTCTTTATCTGACATCAAATCTCTCTCTCTGGTATTCGATATTTTTTATGTCGATGAACGTCTCTTTATATACTACTGATAAATCTTAACAATAGTACACATCGCAGTACCATCATTCATTTTGTTGGCGTCTCATCAGATTTGTACAGCCTGAGAATTTCTAAGTTTATGTATGGAACAATTTTACGATACTTGCAAATGTTAGACGATGTCAGCTGACTGAAGACTCCAAACTTAATAAGCAGTGCTCAGTAATTGCACTTATTTACCCAGAAAATTCAAGTTTAAAAAATGCATGGATACAAAGATAAGAGGTGAATAAAATGATGAGTAACTAATAAATTGAGTAGCCTGGAGTTCTAGTGTTGCGAGGAATGTGATGGGATGTCTTACAACAAAAGGTTATGGGGTATAAATTCGAGTTAACTTTCGGACTAATGAGTACCTTTTGTTAACTACCATGCGTAGAACACTACTTTTTGAATATCATCGAGCCAGAAATTCAGCACTCTATGCCACTCAGACCATCCGTAATCCCTTTTCAAAATAATCCTATGTTTGATAACTTTCTCCTTCAAGGAAAACTGTGACTCGTTATCCGTGACACGTCATAGCAACCTCATTCGATATCATGTCCCAAAGATGAATTTGTTTAACAAATTCCAAGTGAATCTTTGGCATCGGCACCGATATTTCATCAGGAACAGTTTCACTAGTGCTGACGCAAACTTGGACAAGTCGTGCAGGTCAGTTCCACAGTGGTGATTATCCACATAGTAATCTAGAAGTTGTTTAATGAAGCACACTATACAACCTTATTGTTTTGATCGGTTGCGAGTAAACGTGACTGTTGGGTATCTAATTGTTACACTAATTCAGCTACCATGATATGGTCGACTTATCAACTTTACAAGCATCATGGTGGTGATAGCACTCCACTAAGGTGTTTTCCATTCATCATGATATTAATTAATCTTATCATACGGTTTCGACTGCTTATGTTCTGTTTAACTACTGGATGGCTGTGTCATAGCATTTAACAAGTATTAGTTTTTGACTACTTTTGAACCCGTTACTTCCTGTTGTTTTAATTTACATTTTGTTCCGTCATTTATGTTGTTTCAGCCAGTTTACTTAATCTCTCTTTAGTCTGCATTCGATTAACATTTTTATATTACGTGGTTTACTCTGGAATCTCAAATCAACATTTTGGTGACATCTTTAGAAACATTGCTTATGTTTCTATAACAATGCATTACATATATGCGATTCTACAGCTTGATTTTGATGTCGCTGAACTCCTTTCTTATCATACTATTCATATCCTGTTTGCGTCATTTTACCTATGGCAACATATTGTTTCTTTTTCACAGAATATGTTTAACACTGCTAGTAGTTCTCGACATGGACAGACAACTCCAGTTAACAGTGCAGCACCAACTCCACTGGGAATGTCGAATATGTCATCTCGCCGACAGTCTGCATCCAGCAGTACAAGTGTTAATTCTCCTGTTGCTTTGCCCATTCAGCAACAGGGACATTCGGCTGGAAACGTTGTACAGCAGCTTGCCTCTCGTTATCAACAGCTCACAAAAGCTGCTGTTGCTGCTGTGGTTGGTGGTGGTCAGAATCCAGTCAACCATTCTATTGCGAATAATGCGGCTACTGCTAACCTAATGATGGCTGCAGCGGCGAATCCTATGCTTGCAGCAGCTGCAGTATCAGCAACTAGCCAACAGCAACAATCTGTCGCTCAGCAACAGTTGACAGCTGCCGCATTAGCCCAACAGAGGTTGGCGGCAGTTGCAGCTCTGAACTTTCAGCATCAACAGCAGCCACATCATGCACAACCTTCAGCTGGGACGGTGCCATCCAATAGTCAGACAGATCATCTAGCTCAATTCACTCAAATGCAAACACTATTGATGAGCAGTCTTTTAGGAAATGCAGGTATGTATTACAAAAAAGTTCTCCGTTATTGTATTTCAATTACCATGAGTTATCGTTCGTGGTATGAAGTTTATTTGTTTTTAAGTATCTACCATATTTTGGAATGTAGTGCGAGGTAATACTTTATACTCTATTACAGTTACTTAACGTTAAATTTTAAATTTAGGTAACACGCAGTGATTTGACTGTTTTCTTCCGCATTCGGCCGTACTTACCAGTAATACTGCCCAAATGGAGGTATGGCTGTCATAATCTTAGGCGTTCAACTGTGCCAATAAGTCCTGAATTCGAATCGTGCTCCGTTTGCTTCAGCTTGGACAATAGAGTAATGTCACCAGACCTCACACAATAAGTGTGGCTCACACGTGGAAGATAAATATCGGGTAACTGAGTTTTGGGCGTCGGTGGCATAGCGGTTAAGACGCTAGCCGACCATGCACATGGTCCAGGGTTCGATCCCCGACCGACTCACTCCTTTACTTCGCTAAGCCAAAAATAATGCTGGTAAAGAGGAAAGGTTGGGCCATGAAGCTAGCAACCCCATCCTGTGAAATAAACAATGCTACAGAAACTTCAAGCCACTAGCTTGAAGCCCTATGTTCCACTGGAGAATCTGAAGGAAAATAAAAATAACACGGAATATAAATATAAATATTGGGTAACTGAGTTCTGTCTACTATAATCTCACATGGATAGTATGTGAAGTTATTACCACGAATAAATGTTCAATGTAATAAAGTCTGAGGTTTAATTTGTATTAGAATAAACAATTGCACAAATAGAGTTATTGAAAGTGGGGCTACTTTTCTCTAAGACATGTTATCTCGTCATTACTTAGCATCATTGTTTATTAATCTTCAGATTGCTATATTTCACATCATCATATAGAGAGAGAGAAAGCAGATGGAAATAGGGAGATAATGAAAATAATAGTGTTTGTCGTATTAGAAGTCAAGAACAAGAAAGGGCATCACAATTTTCTTTAAGACATGTACGTATTTCTGTATCACTTAATAATATTTGAGGTCATTTTTTCTAATTCCCTTTAATGTCTATTTCTCTTTTCACCTGGACTGAAACCATAAAGCTTTCACTTATTTTGTCATGAAAACATTAGTCAGAGGCTATTATAGTATTCAGTCTCTGTTCTAATTTAGGTCTCAGTACCGTTCATTGAAGTATGTAGTGCATATGGGAATGATGTGGTAGCTAATATTCCAGACTTGTTGCTCGTCATGCTGACACACCAGATAGTCTATATTCAACACAAGTGTTTTCCATCTCCATTGAGATGTAGACTATCAAAATGGACTAGTTCGGAGTGCGAGTTTGCCTGCGGGGATGAAAATTGCATCCTAAAAATCACCACTTACCCAGTTAAGTACTATACACTTACCCTGAATAGATTCTCATGCACTGTACACTATGGGCTGACAATACCACCCAGTTACCCAAGCTGAAGCGGTCTCGGCCCTAGGATCACGTATCGGCTAGGAGTCGGGTGCTTCTTTCAATGATAAGCCATATCTTCAATTTAAAAAATTACCTCTCCAAGCGATAATAAGAATTACACTACTGGTATTTTTTTTTGACAGGACTATGCGTCTGTGTGTATTTAAGAGCGAAACCTATCTCTAAAGAGGAGGTTAGAAGTACCACTTTTACTGGAAGCATCGAGCTCAACCAAGATAGGAATGTAAATAAATAAAGTAGTGCTTTTCAGAGAGTATTCAAGATGTTTCACTTCCGGAGGTACTGATAATGTTTTGCTTCCACGTCAGATATAGTGAACACCAGTGTTGTGTTCTGTTAACTTTACCTTCATGCATTAATCGTCTTCTCAAGTATATTCTTCAGTGCAGTCATAATTTGAGTACTCACTGTTTGAATATTTATTTATCAATCCATCTAGTGAATGCTAGGTTGATAAACTTGAACTAGGCATTTTGCCATTTTTGTCTTGTGGGTTATACTTGCAGATTTTTGCGGTATTTTCAGTTCCTCAACTGACGTTGTTAGTTTTTTTAATACAGAAATTGAATTGTCACTCTTGGATGCAGCTTTAAGTTTTTTGTTATTCAGATTAAAAGGTATTTAAATTGCCCATACTGGACGTATACACACCCACTGACAACCAGCTTTCGGAGGTGGGTTTTGTTGTAAGCTGTTGACCTTAATAATTATGTCTATATACTGGAGTACAGATAAACATGTATAACAAGATTTTCCACTTTTGTTTTTAATTATCCAGCTGCTGTCAGTGGAGCACAAGCAACCGCTAGCTCTAGGCAACAACAACAACAGCAAATATTGCAACACGCGCTTCTGCAGTACACCTATTTATTACAACAGCAACAAGCTGTTGCAGCTGCTCAGGTTCAACAACAACAACAGCAGCAACAACAACAAAGTCAACAGGTTAACGCAGCTGCTTTACAGCAGTTGATAAGTGGAGCCGCTGGGAACCCGACAGCTTGTATGACATTATTGCAAAATTTGTGGGCTCTTAATGCAGCATCCAATGGTGTGAAAAAGTAGAATACCTACTGACATACATAATTTTCCTTCAAAACTATTTATTTCCCCTTCGCTGTTTTTATGATTTTGTCAACAAATATGTTTTAATTTACTGTGCCTTATAACATCAATTGCGTACAGTACTATTCGAGATACAATAACATTTCATCATTTGTTCTAGGTTATCATATACATTTTTCTATATTTTACTGATTATGGTTTACTGCATACATATATTCATTACTACTTTATTCTTTTGATGAATTGACATACGTCATTTCCATTCCGCATATTGTATATACTTCCATATATTTGTAGTGCTGTTTCAGTATCACTTACTTTCACGCTGAAATTTTTGTGATCTTTCAGTAAACATATCTTTGTTTGTCTCCAATCATACTTATTATTTTAATCAGTAGTACATAATTTAAGTATGACTTCAACTTTTTTTGATATCTAGTGAAATATTCCCATCGTAATTGAAAGCACAACAGTTGTAAACATTCATTATAAAAGCACAGTTAGTCTTGCATCATTTCAAGTTGTCAGCCTTTTGAAAACTGTGCAAATGTATGGAAAGAAGTGAATAGGGTAGTTAAATGAGTATTAGTGAAGACTTTCAGAATCTAGATGGCACCAGCAAATGAATACACCCGAGTGATTTTAGGCCATGTCACCGGAATTCTTAGTCATCCCAAGGACCCTAGTCAACAAGATTGCTGAGGTAGGCGGACAGTAGCTTGGCACGTGTCATATATGTCCTGGACACCTCAATCGATCGGCTGTTCTTCAATTAGATAGTACTAGCCATCTACCACGAGAGATTGATTAGTGGTTTCTGTGATGGTAAGCCACATATATTCCACACCTTGGAACTTCAACGGCTATGCTTCAGACATTGAAGTAGGTCTGAGCAAACTGTTGTACAGTACGTACATTCTTTCATAGTTTCCCGGATATAACACAGATATGAAAAGGTAACGCAAGACGGCAACCGCTAACAATTCGTGAGTCGGCAATGAGAATTCGTCAACAATATCACTAAGCAGGTGAAGTGGCGAACTTATACAACCTTTTCACGTGATATCTTTAGGTATGATTCGGTGTGGACATATCCTGCAACCTCCAAAATCTGACGGAGGCAGATTGCATTGCAGTCATATCCAGGTTTTGCTCAGTTTTTGGAGGACTGCGTTTGTCATCTACACATATGAATACTATGTATTCGTATTCCTTATCAAGGAGAATTTTTCTTGATAGGATTTTAATCACTCATACATCGATGCTTATCAGGTTCGCTTTCACTGCTATATCTATAATAGAGTTAAATAGGACCTATGACGTTGAAAGTCCTTGACAAAACATTACTGTTTGTTTGCACTTCAAACGACGTGCCTTTATTACCTCTTAAATGACTGCCTAAGTTGCAGCAGGGTGCCATAATCAACACATTGTGCTTTCTTGTACTCCGATCACAATCAAATATTTACACAACTCGGTTGACATACTCAAATACCGCCTTTAGGTCAACAAATTGAGCAAGTGTGGCACTTCGTTAAGTATTCCTTTATTACTGAGCCTGCTGAAGGATGACGGTATATCCAGTACATGCAGCCTGAATTTAACGAGCACCACTTTATCCTCGCAATGTTATGGTTCTTAGAATCTTGAGTACCATTTTAGGCATTATATTCTTCTTGTGGTTATTACTGGTGGACTTGTCTTGTTAATTGTAATCTACAGTAATGAACGGTCTATCCAGGTCCATTGTAACTGTGTGAAGCTTATACTTCGGTCAGTATGGTTGACCCAATACTGCTGTCCTCAAACACCTGAAGTCATACATTGAGTCCCTGTTGCTTTGCCTCATTTAAGACTAGAGGACTAATCGTGGAAAATACCTATCAGGGAAAACAACAAGAATTTCAGCAAGGATGTTTCTCTATCGATTTCATCCTCGAAAGCTATACAATCGCATTTGCATGCATAAGTTTAAATGGATACAATTATTACCTAATTCCACTCCCTGCATCTCATCAGGTAGAACCAGAAATCAGTACAAAATAATATATGCTCGTACAACCAAGTATAGGAACTCAACGATACCATATTTGGCCCGAGTTCTAAGTGACAGAGACAATGTTAAGCGTGAAACCTATGACTTGCTTTGTTGTTAATAACATAATTTTGGCCCTTGTTATTTCCCCCTTACACTCTCTTATTTGTACTCTATAGTGAACAACCTTCTTAAACATACTTAGCTGCTTAAAATTATTATCATTGGCTTACATTTTTATTCTATTCCTTCTTTGTACATCTACTGGGTCCGACTATATTATCACTATGATTATTAAAAAATTGTCCCGTCATTAACCATCATGTAACATTAGTTTTGTGGTTGTTCTTTGTTCGGCACTATTTAACTGACAATCTTGTTTGTTATTGCCACTATCACCATCTTAAAAAAATTTCGTATTATGCATGATTCCTCACACTACCACTACAAACAACCGCATTAGTGCTGACAATAAAAAAAAACACAACCTGAAATGTTTATCTTATGATTGCTTAGTGTTGTTCAATCAAATTAACTGATCATCTTGGCTATAAACATTTTTAAGAACATCTCATAATTTCCTGTATGATTATAGCTGTTACTGTTCACCACGCATACACATATCGTAGCTTCCACTAACCAATACTGAAATATTTTTTCATTATTTGTGTTTATCTTCCTTTTTACTTGGTATTTTTATTTGCATTTTTTTTGTTATTTCTGTGTTTTTTTTTTTGGTTTTTTGTTGTTTTTTTATATATTTTACTTTTTTTATAATACTCCTTTTAAATGTACGATGAAATTAGATGCAATATTGTAGATATGTGCTGAAAATTCCACAGTGCACCACAAGTACTGTTTCTGGAATAAAGCGACATTGTTATTGTAAGCGTGATAATCTTCAACTGGATATGAAAGTTCGAAGTTTTCAATATGGATTACAAGTGGTTTAGAAACAAAATTAGGAAATAAGTCTCGTAATATGTAGAATAGTTTTCACCGAAGACATGTGTGAACGGGATGGGCATGGAAACAAAGACATAATAGCTTTATAACTGAAAATGAAAAAAAATAAAGGGATTGAAAAAAACAACGGAAACTATGGAGTCATCCGTACTTGTTCTGTGGTGAGTGTAGAAGTTGGACTAGTATTTTGTGTACACGGCTCCGGCTTTTCAGTGCATGTAGTGAGGGCTTCTACAGTAGCAAATAAGTTGAAAACACTTTCTGATTAAGTCAATGCGTTTTTGCATGCATGCAAGTTAATAGTGCCCCCCGCTGCTTCTTATCGTAGTAATGTTTCCGCCGTTCTTGTGCTCCCTGCGTTTCCTCACGTGCATAACTATGGTACGCAGCTAAGTCTCCTCGCAACCTTATCACTATTTATGATGTGGTCAGTGGACCATTCCACGGGGGCATAACCAATGTATCATTAAGCAGGCGTAACTCGCCGCCAATCAACAGCCGGTGTGGTCTTTTCCCCTTCGACATGTGTGTGCTACCTCGGTAGGCCAGCAAGCACCTTGGTAACGTGGTGTTCCAGGCCGATTTAGCTTCTCTTCCTGAAAGTAGTCGTAGTAATGATTTCAAAGTTCGATCGGTGCGATCTACTAACCCATTGTCTTCGGGATGGTATGCTAGGGTTCTTGCCTTCTTAATTCCGAATGTATGATACAATTATCTAGCCAAGAGACTTACCAAGCTGGTTCCTTGATCAGAATGTAATTGCTCTGGTGCGCCTCAACGGGCAATCCAATGACCGAATATAGCTTTGGTCACTGTAGAAGTATCACTTCACTTAAGTGGCACAGTTTCACACGATTTCTTAAAATAAGTGACCATTAACAAGATGTATTTGTTCCCACTCACGGTCTCATGTACTGTCCTATGGAGTCCACGCCGATTACTTCGTTGGGATATCCAGACTTCATATATGTTAGTGTCGCTCTAGGTTTCTTCTGTGGGTTCTTTACCTTACCCCATTTCGCACACCCTCGATGAAGTCCCGGACGTCGCCCCACTGGGGAGGCCACCAATAACGTTGGGCGGCTGCTTGCAGCATCTTACTAATTCCAGCGTGTCCCAAGTCATAATGTGCCTTCTACAGAATTACTGTTACGGACGACTGAGTGACTATAACTCTTCGCAAGTAATTGGGGCCAGGTTGAACACAGAATACCATTCAAAAGCACTAGCTGGTCCCATAAAGCCCACAAACATCTCGTCTCCAAACTTTTCTCTTTAACATCAGCTCAGGCTGGTCTACCAGTCTCATTCGACAAGGCGCGATATAAGGGCGCAGTCTCACTGTCTGAAACCTGGATATATGTCCACTGTTCTCTGCTTAGGCATTTCAACGAAATGGTACGAATATTAATTCTCTCGCAGGACGGGCAGTTTCCGTGTTCGCTGAAGTAACGTCTGGATAACGCATCAGCATAGGCATGCCACTCGCCAGGACGGTGAACACATTCAAAATCAAATTCCTGGAAGCCTTTCTGCCACCTTGCGATTTATTTGCAGTTCATCAAATAAATGGGGTCGGTACTTGCGGACGAAGGTAACAGCAGCCGACATTTCTTATCCGGTGATGCAGTAGTTCTCTTCTGCACAGCTCAATGTGCGACTGTCGTATTTGATAGCATGTTCTTTGCCGTCCCCATCAACCCGGAATAATACGGCCGCAGTGGATGTGTGGCTGGCGTCCGTGTCCAAGATGTATTAACTGGCTTTTGGTAATGTATTCGGGAGTGCTAAATTAAGCGCCGAGCATAACGAATCTTTCAAATGCTGAAAAGCATGGTGACAACCTCTAGTCCATACGAAGGGAATATTTTTTAGTCAACCTTGTTAAAGGGTTAGCGATTTCCGAGCAGTTGTTCATGTATCGGAGTCAATAGGAAGCTGACCTCAGAAAACTGGGTAACTCGTTTGTGGAGTGAAGTACGGGCCACTCTTTGACTACTGCAACTTTTCCTGAATCTCTATGAACACTCTGTGCGCTGACCACGTACCCCGAGGTGCCTTCTGTTCTGAATAGAGAATATTTAGTGGGTTGAACCTTGAGTTCAGCCTCCTTCAAACGCCTCAAAACCATTCGCAATCTTTTGAGGTGCTCTTCGATGGTGTGACTGAATACGATGATGTCGTCTAAATATACCAGGCAGACTTGGGAAACTAGGCCTTTGCGTAACGTATGCACCAACCTTTGAAACGTTGGTGGTGCACTACTCAGTCCGAAAGGCATAGTCTGGAATCCATACCACCCCATGGGCATAGTAAAAGCAGTTTCATGCCGGCCACGAGGGTTCACTTCGACCATCCAATATCTGGATGCTAAATCAAAGGTTGAAAACCAGACGGCTCCTGACAGCGTTCTAACGTCTCGTCTATTCTCGGCAAAGGGCAAGCACCCTTCCGAGTCACTGCTTTTAATTCCCGGTAATCAACACACATTCCAAAGGAGCCATTTTTCTTCTTGACTGGCACTGTAGGAGCCCGCGGTGAGTTTGATTGTGCAACTATCCCTTTCCTCAGTCATGCTTACCAGTTGTGGGCGAAACTTAGATGGGACTAGATTAGGTGTTTGTCTTATTGGGGCACAATTACCAGTCTCAGTAGTGTGCTGGGTAGATGTCGTTCTCCCCAGGTCAGCCGGTGACCACGTTACCAACTAAGAAAACTCTGAAGTTAGCCGATGTACAGCCTCTCTGTGTTCTTCAGGAACTTGTGCTAACTTGATTTCCATCAGGGCAGTGTCAACTGTATTTACGATCAACTGTAGAACCGTGGTACCGCTGTCTGACCCAGACATTAGTGTGGAACCTAATAGAATGGTCATTTGAGATTCGAAATCGATTTCGGCTTTACAACCGCGTAGGAGGTCATAGTCTGTGATTAAATCCCATGAAAATCCATTAATTATTAAACAGGGAATACCAGATGCGATCGCTTTTACTTTCCCACAATATCAGCAGCTCGCCAGTCGCTTTCAATTGAGACCCGTTGGCCACTTGGATGTTTTGGTAGGGGGCGGCTGTCACGAATGCGACGCTACAATGTCTGCTGACAACAACGTGCGAGTTGTATCTGTACCTACCAAGCCAATGAGTTATGCCTTGAAATTTAAATGAGACAGTAGGCAAGTGCTTAGCTATATACAGGCCCATGGATATGTGCATAACACTAATTACAACAGGGGAAAACTCACTAGTTTCCTCTTATAATCGGGGTGTTTTCGAGCCCACCAACGGGCCCGATTGGCTCAGTGTGTGTCCTGCTGTGGGGGCAGGTCGGCGAAGCTGTGTAGAAATTCATCCATTAGAGGTAGGGTGAGATGGTCACGAGGTATTGTCGGTTCTCAGGGTTGTGTCAATATATAGGACCCATCCGTTGTTCATACGACGCTTTGTGAGTGATTCCCACTGTTTGGCGAACCGATGTGCCTACACAGGCGAAGTAGGATTACATACGACGAAAGGTCCCCTCACGTGCAGATGATAGCACTAGCTACTTGACCTACTCTTGAGAAGTTCTGACTGGGAAGAATACTTCATCAACAACAACTTAGAAGCATCACTTGAGATTTTCTACAAAACAGTTGGCTCAGCAAGAGACACAATCGCGCCCCTAAAATCTGCCCTAAAGACACCAACTCCATTTATTGACCGGAAAACGCGACTAAAACTAAAGAAATTGGAAAGGAAATACCATGTATTTAAGGAATTTAATGCGTTAAACCAAATACATGAAACTCTTAAACTGCTTGAAGAGAAACACAAAATGAGGAAAATAAAGCGCTAATGGGTAACACCAAAACTCAGGAACTTTGTAGGATATTGCAGAAACGTCTAAAAAGCAGTAAAGACAATAATGTAAGCATCTTGGAACATAAGGGTATAATATACAACGATCCCCAGGTTATAAGTGAACTCCTCAGTGAGTGGTTTTGCAATGACACCAGAGTGCACCCGACCCCAAATTTCCAAATGACCTGCAAAAGTAACCACAAATTAGGAGAAATAGATTTTAACATACAAAATATAGACTCAGCGATTAAGACATTGAAGTCAAATGGCAGTACTGGAACAGACGACATACCATCTGTCATATACAAAAATGGTAGCACGGAAATGGTAGTCTTGTTACTTAGAATATTTACTCTGTCACTGGAAACTGGAACTTATCCTGAAGTGTGGAAAACCACATACATATTACCTAAGCACAAAGCAGGGGCCAAAACCAGTGCATGCAACTATAGACCTATTAATATAACACCGGTAATATCACGAATAATGGAGAAAGTGGTTAAAGACCAAGTGTCAGACAACTTACTAGAACATGAACTTATCAGTCCATCACAACACGGATTCCTCAAAAAGAGATCATGTGTGACCTGTCACATAGACTTTTTCAATGAAGTTACACGAAGCAGGGACAACAGAGAACTAGTAATTGTGCTACATTTCGATATAACAAAAGCCTTCGATAGAGTCCCCCATAATCTGCTAGTCAGCAGGTTATGCTCACTAGGGATATGTGACCCTCTCCTGAGCTGGATAAAATCATTTCTCTGTGGCCGAAGTCAGATAACGAAAGTTGGCTCGATAATCTCAAGGCCTAAACCAATAAGTAGTGGTGTAATCCAAGGAAGTGTATTAGGCCCACTCCTATTCATAATATATATAAACAGTATCTGTGAATGCTTTAGTGTTGGTAAACCAATACTATATGCAGATGACTTAAAAGTGACCTATAAATGCAAGAACACAGATCTCGGAATAACAGTAAACGCCATACAGCAAGAATTAGAAAAAATGGATAGATGGTGTGACACCTGGC